CCCAGACTCGGGAAGGACTAAAGGCAAGCATCAGAGTAAGGCAGAGTCAGCTACAACCAGCATTACTTCGTAGAATTTCTTAGTCATAGCCAGAGGAAGGCCAAGTTTTTGGAGAGAAGAAATTAGACGTGCTTTTAAAGAACAGAGCGGATCTGGTCAAGAAGCAAAGACGAAAATGAGTGAATGGGAATGCACTGCACGTGTCGTACAGAACCTTCGCCCCCAATTCTGGTGGCTGGGAAGCCCGGCCGGACTCCGCTTCTTGCTCGGTGAGGTCTGTGGACTCGCTGGCCTTATCTTTACAGTCGGCTCATCGTTTTCATTTCAGTTACTTAGACCTAGGCTTGACTCCTAGCAACCAATTGCCCCTAGTTAAGGGTTGTCCCCTCTCCCGGCCACCCAGTGAGCTTGGCTCAGCACTGCTGTCTCCGGTCAGGAGAGAGACATCCTGCTCTCAGGGGCCGTTTGCCGGCCTTCCAGGAGCACTGCAGAGAGGCAGAGGGGCAGGAAGGGCCACATACAGCACTTGGAACTGACAGGTCACTGTGTGCTTTTGACACGCAGGGTCACAGGCTCACCTGCTTACTGTTTCAGCAGCCAGCGCCCCCCCACACACACACTGCCACACACACACACATACACACACTGCCCCCCCAACACACTGCCACACACACACTGCCAGAAAGGGCTGCTTGTGGTCCCACCTGAACCCTCCCGTTCTCCACTCTGCACACTGTGCCTATCATACAGACTCCTCTAGCGATGTGAATACTGTGGAAACACTGATGAGGGCCACTGTCCATCAGGGACTTTGCACCTTCATATGGTGCCTACGAGTCCCAGCATTCTTCCGTTGATGCCTGCCATACATACAATGTGTGTGTGTGTGTGTGGGCACGTCTGAGCCTAATGTTCAGAAACACATCTGTCCCCTTTACTACACTTTCTGGACTTCCATCTGCCCTTGGGTCCTGCTAGAATTGTTTGAAGTGCATCAGGGAGACAGCAAGTCATTAGTTTTTTTCTTGAACAACAGAAATGAAGGGAGGGAGGGAGGGAGGAAGGGAGGGGAGGAGGGAGGGAGAGAATGAAAGGAAAAGCCCTAACTTGGCTCAACCTCATTCACAAAGCGGTGACCGGAGGAGCCAGCAGCAGCGACTGGGAAGGGCTTCCTGAGCTAACATGACCTGCCATGCCATCTGGTTACCCCTAACTGCCGAGCCTCAGGCCTGAATCCACCCCGAGACAGTCACAAAGAGGCTTTCCAGGGAAAACCCAGCAGCACAGCTCATTCAGATTGGTGCACATTTAAGCGCATTAGCGCAGCGGTCCTAAGGCCCGTCCTGAGCAGCGGGTAACATTCACTGGGAAAGGGCCAGTCTCACAAATTCCACCTAAGGCCAGCAAGGGGGAGTATATTTTATGAGGCCCATGCAGAGAACTTGGATAGAAACCGAGGACTGTCCAGACATGCTGTTTTAAGGGCAAGATGGCTCAGTGGGTTGAGTCACTTGCCTTCAGGCCTGACAACCTCAATACTAACCCTAAATTGACCCGGGTGGGAAGGGGGTTGGGGGGGGGGTGGTGGAGAGAGGAGAACTGATTGGGCAGATTTCCCTCTGACTTTCATATGCATGCTATGGCATGGACACGTGTGCACACATGTAAATAAATATAATAAAAAATGTTTAAAATACTGTTTAGAAATACTTGCATTCATTAAAAAAAAAACCCTGTTTCTCCTGACAGACCTATCATTACCATTTAGTCCTCTTTTCGGTATCATTAGAAGCAAGAATAATATTCTGAACACTGGGAAGTCACGCAGACGTGAAATAAAATGATGTTTTGGGCATGCTTTGTTCTCTACCAGATTATGTCCTTGTCTTTTCTGGTACAACAGTAGGATTTATTTTCTAAACATCCCTGCTTTGCCGAATGAATGACTGTGGATGTTGGGGACCAGATGAGTCATCCATCCATCATCTGTCCTTCCTTCCATCACTATCCTTGTTTGCATTTTTCTTTTGTACACAGATGATTATATCAAAGAGGACACTCGGTGTTCTTCGGTTTAAAGCACCTTCCCTTCAAGTAGGTTATTTGGATCAGAAGTAATAAGGCGCCCTAGCTACCAGCCTTGTCATGGCTCAGATCCTGTGAAAATTACTTACCGGCAGACTTGAGTCCTGTGATGCCTACCACTGCCTCAACCAGGCGCCTTCCAAATGGGAGGTCAGTTTAGGAAGGAAGGGTAGGAGCGGACACATGATGGTTGTGCCGATGAATCTGTTTCCTCTTTGCTTGGTACTGAAGGAGACCCTGACTTAAGACGTTGTTTGCCCATCTCATTCAAATATGGAGACTCTTAATATAACTTAAATATAACTATCCAAGATCTTTTATTTATTATATTGTATTCATTTCAAGGGGAATAAATGTAGGTAGTAGAGGAAAAATATTACTTGGAACTGAATTACGATTGGATGGAGGGGGGGGTTGGCACCAAGGCAGGGAGGGGCATTGACCCTAGACTCAAGAGCTGGCGCTGGCCACTGTGAGGCGCTGGTGTGTTGAGTGGCTGTCGCTGATGAGGCTCTCTTGTGATGCAGGCTTCCCTTTCAGTAGAAGGTTCCTGCAGGGCTTCCTGGCTCACGTTAATTCTCACCGACGGACCCTATGGCGATTAGTATTTGACGCAAGACATGCAGCACAAAACATCCCAGTCATTTTTTAACAGCCCATTGCTCAGAAGCTATTGGCTATCCAACACCGTCGTCATGAATCCCTTAATCTCTCCCATCCTGACCCTGTCAATAGAGGGAACTCTGGGTTGGACAGAAGTTTGAGTTAATTACTCACTATTCTCCAGAGGAAAACTCCTAGAAGTAATTTGTCTCCTCCATCTAAAGCGCCCTAGTATTGACTCCCACTTAGTTCTGGGGAGGTGAGAAAGGTAAGGTAAACCCGTCTTTCTAAGTTATCACTTGACTGCCCCCCTGCTCACACACCACTAGCTAGCTCAGTGGCCTACCAAAATAATGTTTCTGCATCATTAGCGTTGAACACTTGAAATCAATTCAATGCTTGGAAAACTCTTAAGGAGCGCGATTCCATGTGGAGGTTTTCAGATAGAATGTATCAAAAGGAGTTTTAGATGTGCTTTGCTATTTTTTTGGTGCAGAGATGGTGGATTTCATTACCATTCCCACCACCCCACCCCAATACTGTATAGATGGTTCTCCAGTCAGCACACTGCCAGTGTGGAAAGACTGTGATATCATCTCCTTAAGGCTAACACACTACAGTATTAGGCTGAACTAGAAAACTGTTGATTTGGGTAAGAAAAAATTGACTCCTGGCAGTTTCCCATGGCTCAATCTGAAGAGCTTTGGGGTTGAATTTGAGCCTGAATTCCATAACCATGGATTGTAGAGTGTCAGTTAGGCCAATTCCTTAACATCCAAGGCTCGGTTTGTGAAATCAGAGTAATACATGCTGTGTGGAATTGATGTGATGGTTAGCAATTACATATAGAAATACTGGGTCTGGCCTGGTGGTGGTGGTGCATGCCTTTAATCCTAGCACTTGGGAGGCAGAGGCAGGCGAATCTCTAAATTCAAGGCCAGCCTGGTCTACAGAGCGAGTTCCAGGATACCCAGGGCTACACAGAGAAACTCTGTGTCAAAACAAAATGATCAAACAAAAAAAAAAAAAAGAAGAAGAAGAAGAAGAAAGAAATACTGGGTTTGGAAGTATTAAACATTCAAGAAATAGTTAATAATAGAATACTGTTACCAATCTAAAATAATGTAGAGAGTTCCTTGGCTTTTCCCCTAGCAATTTCTGCATATATGGCAAAGACAACGGTTGCTATGGTAGAGAGAAATGGGAAATGTTTGTTTGGCAAGCATGATTTTAAAAACCCAAAGCTTTAAAGGCCTGCCAATCCTGTATGCTCTGGCATGTCCTAGTAAGGTCACAGATAAAGTTTGATATACTCAGTAAAGGATCTAAATAGGAAATGTCTGAAGCAAACCAGAAATGGAGTTTTTAAAAAAATATCAAAACACTGAGCAAACATTCTGAGCTTTTGGCAGAAGTATTGGACTGACTGGATCCCCACGATTCTTTGAGTTATTAATAGTGACTCATTTTGCCATCGTTTGAGTCGATGTATATTTGTATGTTGCCGTGCATGCAGTATTGTTGTGCGGAGACTTCCAAAGCTTGATGGTCCTTGGAAAGCTGTGTTGTCCTGGGAGAGAGCAGGGTGAGGAGGTGTCACTCTGTCACCTGTGGAGTGCCTCCCGGGATGTGCTCAGTGCATGCTCTGGGGAAGACGGGTCCTGCTGCAGTGCCTGGGACATGGCTCCATCTGCTTGGCCAGGAGCCGTGATGAAGTCACAAGTTGGGTAACAGTAGTCATTCGAAGCTATTTATGACCATTGTAACAGTGGAGGTCTGTACTGGAAGGCTGTGTTTACATGCCATGCAGCAGCAGAGTGTGGCCGTGACTCATTCCCACAGTCATGTTTGGTCAGACTGGTCGACCAAGCAGTTAGTGTCGATGCTGTGATGAACACATCTCCAGGTTAGCTCTACCTTGCTGGTGTTCTGCTTCTGAGAGCATACCGACCCCCACTCCCCTGACATGCAGCCGCCCTTCCTGTCCACCGTGCAAGCTACATTCTATCCCCTCCACACAGAACCGCCCGGGGGCCGAGCACCCGTATGCATCGTGAGGAAAGCGTATTTTTAGCCCATGTTTATTGTCTCCATTATGTGGCTTCAATTAGTGACCCTGACGAGTCGTGGGTATCGCGATCAGTAAAACCCTTTCATTTCTCCATTTAGAGGGACTTGAGGTTTTAGTTAATTATCACTTCCTGGGAGCTGAAGGTCAGACTGTTTCCTTTTGTTTCACTCTGAAGTTAATCCCCTCATTAAGGGTGATAGAAAATGAATAATTAAATATGTGTGCCATTTTCATATTTCAGGTAATGAGAGGTCCTCAGAGCCCAGAGGACACCGAGGGAGGAGAAGTCAGGACAGTGTTGAAGGCTCTGTCGCCAGCAAACATGTGAGTTTCAGTTTAGCCTTATGGTGGAAAAGCTTCCCCTAATGTATGTACTTCCCCCTACACTGAAACCCGATGAAAATACTCCTTCCGGGGCTGGGCTCTGGCTCTCATGGACTGCAGGGAGCAGAGCACCCATTAAAAACAACTCAGGATGGAAGGTTGGCTTGCATTCCTCATTTCAGAGAGACCTCAGTCTGTCTTGGCAGAGAAGGGTCAGTGGCAGGAGTGATGGAGGATGTTCATTTCGTGATAGATGAGGAGGCAGGGAGATCTAGACCAGGACCGGAGGTGAATATAGCCTTCGCAGGCCTGTCCTGAAGGACCGACTCTAGCCATCTAGGCCCCATCTCCTAAAGCAGTGGTTCTCAACATATGTGTCATGATCCCCTTGGGGGTCAAATGACCTTTTCACAGGGGTTGCATATCAGATCTCCTGCGTATCAGATACTTACATTATGATTCATAACAGTAGCAAAATGACAGTTATGAAGTAGCAATGAAATAATTTTATCGTTAGGGGGTCACCACCATGAGGAGCTGTGTTAAAGGGCCACGGCATTAGGAAGGCTGAGGACGACTGTCCTAAAGGCTCAAAGAGTACCAAAATCCGGGTACCAAGTGCTGAAAATAGGAGCCTTGGGTTGGGGGCATTCTGTATTCAAACCGTAACAACAGTGAACCTTTGACATACAGGTTCTCTCAGCGAGGGGGTGTGGTCACGGCAGTTGTATTCAGAGGCCTCTCAGGCATTAAGTGCAGAATGAATGACGAGCGCCCAACACAGTCCGTGATCGGCACATGCTAGCTAGCCACAGAAGAGCACCATGGTGACCCAGGCGACGAGCTGAGTGATGTCAGCAGCAGGCCTCAGCCAAGCGTCCCCTTGCAGAGTGTTCAAGTTTCTTTTGATTCACTGGGCTGAAGATTAAGGGTAAATTGTATTAGGCCCTGGCTAAAAACCCACATCTCTAGGGTGTGAGGAAATCCAACTTCGACCAAACCTTTCAATTATGATCAAAGGATCTTTCGGAAGGCTGAAGCTACAGGAAATAGAAAAGTGATAGATGTGACCCACAAGGCCACAGCTGTGGAGGGGAGGCAAAGCCACCCCCAATATCCCCCAGGGTACGATCTGAATTCCTGCCACGCTGCCAGACACCACCCTTCACGGCAGTCCTTCCTTTCCGGGTCATAGTTACAGGAAGCCCAATCGGCATAGACCACCCCCCTGCTGCTCTGTGGGGACCAGTTGGGTCAGGCCCTGCCTCTGCCTCCTGTCTCAGCTCACTGTTTCTTTGAGGGACCTTACGCTCATCCCAACAAAGAGTGTACTCAGCCCTGCTGAGGAAGCCCTGCTCCTATTAGGAATCATCAGGGTGTCTTATTGGGTCCCTTCATTTCTTTAGTCAAGACACAGAAAGTCTCCTAAAGGAAGAGCAAGTCTGGGCTGAGTCTAAACGAGATTTGACTGACCAAGACAATAGAGGGTGCTTTAAGGAAGGAAGCGATGTCGTCGCCGGAGTCTGGCACCTGGCACAGAAACTAGCTCCAGAGGGGAGTGATGATGGAGAGGAGGGCTCAGATTGGCAAGGGGGAAAAGGTCTAGGGGTTGGACCTTGATGTGGAGGCCCACTGAGGTTTCCTAGTGAGATCTGAGCTTGCTTCACCCAGCAGGGCTGCATTAGAGGATTGTGTGTGTGTGTGTGGTTACCAGGTGATTAGAACGGTCTGTACTTGGTTGTGCTGTGGGGAGGTCTTTTGCTTCACCCCTTGGCATTTTTATAAATATCCCTTTAGAAGAGACAGAAGAGGCCGGTGGATTAGGACCCAGGCCCTCCCGAGGCTATCCTGTGTTCCTATCTGTTTCTCTCCCCTCTATCCTTCTATCTAAATCTCTTATCCCTCACTCCTCAAGAGTACCCTGGGGTAAAATAAGTGTTCACTGCTATGGTTACAGGAGTGGTTAGATAATTTGACAGGAAGAAGAGGACAGGAGCAAGGCCTGTGGCAATGCCACCTCGGAGAAAAAAGGAAAATAAAAGGTATTCAAATAGATCATTGACTATATGTAAAAGGCTGGCAATTACCGCTCAGAAATGAATCTTAAAATTTGCTGTATCACTCATTATTTTATTCAAAATGGTCAGCCTTAGGCAGACTTTTGTAGGGAAAATATGCTGCTCCTTTCCAAGAGGGCCAGGGAAGCAGGGTCTCTAAACGGCTCCTGCAGGGAGCGTCAGAGGGGAAGACATGGGAATGACAGAGAGGGGGGCCCGACGTGCCAGCGCGTGGACGCGTGCTGGGTGACAGGGCACACTCAGAGCAGCCTCATTTCATCCTCGGATGGAAAGACCTTAGGCTTGGAAAAGCATTGGATGGTGGAGTTGGAAAGTTGTGTGATTTTTTTTTTTCATTGAACAGTGTGTATCACTGCTAGAAAACTAAACCTGGACCACTTCTATTTCACTGTTCCAGGGGAATGAACAGGACAGAAGAATAAAGCCTCTCCCCAGAGCCAAACGTGTTTGACTGCTGGAAGGTAAGGGCTGGGACTCACCAGAGTCCCGGGGAACTGTCCGAGGGCTAAAATAGGAGGCGCGGTGTCAAGAACTGTTTAATTGCATGCATGCATTGCATTGTTTTTTATTGCAAGTGTTGCATGTCTCTGTCGAGTCAACTAGCTGTGAAGTAGGCCTTGTACTGATGACATCTTCACTCAGAGGTGTGAGTTGCCCAGTGGGAAGGAAAAAAGGTTCCTATGGCGAAGGACAGACTTCAGAGAGCCCCAGCCCCCTCTTAGTGGTGTTCAGGTTTGGGTGAATCTCATGCAGAGGAATCAGCAAATGTTCTCTGGTCCACCATGTGGAGACAGTCAGCCTACATCCAGAGAGTCAGTACCCACTGCCCCCCAAGGGATCCCTTCTCCATCTTTGAGGGAGCCCCTCCCCCCGCCACTGCACCCCTGAGTCTCAATTCTGTTCTCCCTGTTACCATAGTTTCATGTATTGAAGGCCTGCCTGGCTCCTTGGCTAGGGATGCTGTTTGGTCAGGTTCCGGAAGCTTACGAGGTGGGGCCTAGCTGTAGGAAACAGGTCACTGGGGCTATATCCTGTCTTGCTGCCTTGCCTGTCCCTCTGTCTGTCTCTGTCGCTCAGTCTGTCTCTTCCCCCCCACACCCCTCCCTGGCCACTCTTAGGTGAGCAGCTCTGACTTAGCACACCCTTCTCCTGTGACTTCCTGCCCTGGACTGAGGCCATGAACCCAAATAAACATTTTCTCCTTTAAAACAGTTTCTCTCAGGTATTTGCACAGCAGCAGAAGGCTACTGAACGCACTCTTCCTTATAGTTCTCCATCTCTGTCCACGTAAAGCTGCGAGAGAAAAGAATCCATCCTGTCAAGACACCGTCCTTCCCTTCTCCACGCTTGTCCTTTCTCAGTCCCTGCCTCTCACTCACGAGCAATCGCTTGTCTCCGCTTCAGGCAAACCCGTGCTCGGCCCTGCTTTGTGTCCCCAGGCTACAGCCTTCTCTATGGCATCTCTTCCCCAGACACGTTACTTCTCCTGCATACTGGGAAGGGACCTCCCCAGACCCACCCTTCTCTTGCAGATTCCCCCGCCCCCACACACACACATTTCAGCAGCCTGGCCTGGTGAGGACACAGGAAGTCATTAGGAGACACGGTGGGGCTTAATTTAGAGACACTGACAGATGCCCTGTAAACTGTGCGTAGAGCAAGGGCATGTGCCACTGAGGGGCTCTGACAGGCTGTAAAGTTATAGCAGAAGCCAATCAAGTCCTCAAGCAGGGTGATTTTCATTGGACCCTTGTTTCATTAAGCACAGACCACTTAAGAGATCTGTCTGGATGTTCGTCTTGATGGTGTTTCCATTTTGAAATTGGATCAAGCAAATCCACTGTTGGCTAGGAAGTTCCCCAAGCTCGGCCCTTCATGTATTATGCATATCAACTCTTCCTGCAAACTTTCAGCATCTTAGAAGGAGTCAGACCCATTTCATTTTATGACATCTTCAGTGTTTAATGCTTTTGGCCATTGAAATCACCATGTCTCTGCTGGGTATTCCCTGGACGGCCGTTAGCAATGGGGCCGGTTGGAGCTTCTAATTTTCTGATTTCATTTTTCTTTCTCACGGTGTTTCCTAATTTATGATTCTAACTTCACAATATTCCAGGGCTGACTTTTATTGAATTTCGCATTAAGACTAAAGGTGGTTCGTTTTTTTGTTTGTTTGTTTGTTTGTTTTGTTTTTTAAGTTACTTGTGCTAACATTGTGCTAGATGCTGAACAAGTCACGGGAAGTAAAGTTATATGTTTTTCATGTTCTGCTCCCTTTCCTCGACCACCTTCTTTTGAGACTGGGTCTCATGTATACAGTTGAGTATGGCCTTGAACTTCCAATCTGCCTGCCTCCACTCCTTGAGTGTGAGAATTACAGGCACAAGCCAGCCGCCCATTTCATGCAGTGCTGAGGAGAGAAATCATAGCTGTGTGCATGCCAGGCTAGTCCTCCATCAGCGAGCTACCTCCCTAGCTTCAGTGCTCCCCGGTTTCCATGGTAACGAAGCCCACTTCTGTTATCTGAGAAGGTCCCATGGTCCAAAAGAGGCTGGTTCGAATCCTTCTCCAGAATTTTCCTGCCAGGTCTGCTGAGAGGCTGTTGGCTGTGGGATAGAGGAGTTTGAAATCCAGCCTGCTGTTGTTAGAATAATCCTTTTTCCCCAACTCCTCACTGGTGGTACTCCTGAACTCAGACAGAACAAAGCAATAGGAAGCAGAGAAGCAGGAATGAAAGACCAGTAAAGAGAGTCCCAAAGGAGGCGCTCCATCCTCAGGCATCCCCTGGACCAGTCCTCCGTGGCTTTTTCCATGGATGGGGTATAGGAGACTTTCAATTCTTATACCCACTTAAGTGACTTTGAGTCATTAGTTACTGTTATTTGCTAATAACAACTCCACATTGACATAGAAATCAAGCACGTGAATATAAATATTTCTCATGATAGAGTACTTACCTATGGCAGGGCGGCCTGGAAAATTCTTAAACCGAGTCCACTGAGGCTTTTGTTTTCCTGGTTGATTTCCTTGGGGCAGTTCTTAGTTATACCTGGTGCACTGATTCCTTGTTTGAAGTGAGGGACAGGAAGTGGCCGCCCTCATAGCCTTCATTATCAATTCATGTGAATGAAAAGCTCTGAAGTTCTGATTGGTGGATGCTTGGGTCCTATGTCACCTGTCAAGACACAACTGTGATTGGATCAAGAGGCTGGGATTTGTTGGGGGGTCAGTCTTACCCATCTCTGTGGACTACTGTGTTGCTTTTCCGGGCTAGACTCTGGGACAGGGTTACAATACACTCTGCCAGAAGTAAGGGGAGGCTCTTCTGTTGTGGGATGTTCTGTATGTCCTGTGGGTTCCTCATGGCTTTACCCAGCAGGTCCGCATAGAGTTTGTAAGCAATATAAGTCTCTGTGTTTACTTGGTTGGGTCTGAGCGGCTATGGGACTGGCGGGTGACAGAGATTTGTCCTGACAGTGGGCAAGGCAGGAAAACTCTAGCTACACTCTTCTCCCCCCTTCTCCAGGTCCTCTGATAGAAGGCAGCCCGGAGGGCCCAAATTTAAGAGGGCAAACTGAGGTGAACTTATTCATGATTTTTCTCAATTTCTCAGAAGAATCAAAAGACGCTAAGCCAAATTCAGAGTGTGAGGGAAGAAAAAAAAACACCCAACAAAAGCAACTTAAAGGAGTTTATTTTGGTCCACAGCTGGCGGGAAAGTCGCGAGAGGAGCAGAGGCAGCTGGTCACATCGCCTCCACACTCAGAAAGTGGGAGTGGTAGCATTGGGGGCTCAGCTGATTTTCCCCTTTTTATTCAGCCTAGGACCCCAGCCCACAAATGGTGCTGCCCATATTTAGGATGGGTCTTCCCGCCTTAATTAACCTAATCAATCAACTCTTCCGTTGACATGGCCAGAGGCTCATCTCTTAGGTGATTCTAGATTCTGTCAAGTTGACATTCAATATCCACTATTACAGAGGACTTGGACACAAGCCCAAGATCTGCAGGATCCTAGTAGAAGGTGTGAGAGTTTATAATTGTCCCCATAAGCTCATCGGGAGTGGCACTATTAGGAGGTGTGGCTTTGTTGGAGTAGGTGTGGTCTTGTTGGAGGAAGTGTGTCACTGTGGAGGCGGGCTTTGAGGTCTCATATATGCTTAAGCCACGCCCAGTGTCTCTGACCACTTCCTGCTGCCTGTGCAAGATGTAGGACTCTCAGCTACCTCTCCAGCACCATGTCTGCCTGCACGCCACCATGTTCCACCATGGTGATAATGGACTGAACCTCTGAACTGTAAACCACCCCATTCCATGTCTTTCCTTTATAGGAGTTGCCATGGTCATGGTGTCTCGTCTAAGACAGGAAGTATCAGTGGGAGCGGGGCCTTCTTCCTCCGCTGATGTACACCACGGGTAGCTCAGGGTCCAACATGCAGACAGGCAGACAGACAGTGACCCTGGCAGGGCAGGCTGCAGTGCCTAGAAAGGAAAGGGGCCTTGAGATTGAGCCCAGGTGCTGGCGTCCCCTGACCTGGTCTAGCCTCCAGCTCTTTACCAGTTCCTCAGACATCTCTTTAGAGTCAGCCTTCTGGGAGAGGAAACTGTTGATGGAAAAGGGTGTTTTCACTCCGAAGACCTTTAAATACAGCTGATACTCCCAAACCAGAAAAACCAGGACCCTTTCGGCCACGTACAGGTTGAGTGTCCTCAGGAAAGCCATTTAACCTCCCCACATCTCAGTTGCTCGTATGTAGAATTAAAACAAAAATAATAATTACCTCCTAGGGTTGTCTGAGGACAAAATCACTACGAGGAAATGAAAAGCTGTTCAGACGGTGGGCGCTCAGAATATAGCAATGTCTAAGCCACCAAGCAGCCAGGACCTTGGTACCAGGGGTGAAGACCCCCGTCAGTTTGCGTGGTGGTGGGCGGGGTCGAAGCTTTGTGTTGTCCAATTTGAGGGCCCTGGTCTTCTGCTGGAGTGGGGGAAGGGCAAGGACAACCAGCAGGGAGAGCAGATGGAGTACTGCCGGGTTCCCCACAGCTGGTGCGCATGCGAACTGCGCATGCACTAAACAAGGACCTAGCTCTGCTGACTCAGCAGTCTCAAGGGACCGTGAAGGAGAGGAGGGTTTTCTATCAACTTCCTCTCCCAGAATCCTTTGTATACTCAGATCGTAAAACAGCACAATCCCCAAATACTCCCCAGATCGCCGTCTTCCCCACGTCTTCGTTCATGATCAGTATTTTGCTTCCTATTGATCCAGTAAAGGAAGTTGAAGTTTACTTCCCATTTCCCTGATCTCTGATGAGATTAAGCCTCTTTTCATGCCTTTATCAACCATTTGCATGTTCTCTTAGGCTTCTGTTACTTAACAACACGGAATTATTTTAGGATTTGGTTCGAGGCCCGGCGTTCGTTGTGGTCATTCTACCATTTCGTTTCGTTTCCTTTAATG